TATTTATATTTATATATAATATAAATTATATATAAATCTATATACAGTACATGAAAATATTTCTTAAATATATACAAGCATGTGTGTGTATTTATATATATAAAATAATTATACACAATGCACCCACATATATTATGTAAAAAAAACTTTTATTTTGGATGTGATTAATCACGATTAATCATTTGACAGCCCTAATAAAAACATCAAACTTATAACACATTGACGAGTCAAACAAGTTCTGTTGCTTTACAAAAGGAATATGCAACAACTTCTGTGAAAACGAATAAAAAAAATAAAAAAAATAAAGTGTGCTCCTGTTTTACCTTACAGCTTTTCGGTGATGTTCACGTCGCGTAATTACGTCACTTCATAACGTTCCCATGGCAACAGGGGGGAAACGGCGGCTCTTGTGTGAAGCAAACTTTTTTGCAACGAAAATGCGAGGATTATGAAATCATGCAAGCCCCGCATATTTTGCACGGAAAGCGGAAATTTATGTGGCGAAAGTGCGGCATATTTGAAAAAATGCGGCCCCCGCATAAATATGCGGACTTTGGCTGATTATGCACTAAATCATGCGATCGCATAATCACGGTTTTCTGGAGGAACTGTATTTAACACAAAATTTTGGCCAAATTGCGCAGCCCTACAAACACAGCAAACCTGCAATTTTTTATTGCATTTTCAATCGCAATCACAATTTTGATCAGAAAATTCATATTTTTCTCAAGTCGTACAGCACTAACCTTCATTAATACGCATGCGTTTTCCCGTCAAAATGGAGGTTTAATGGTTTAACGTTTGAAAGGAAAATAAGACAGCCATAAATATTAGTATTGTAATTGTACATTTGCAATGTTTATACGATTTTTCTAATATACTCATTTTCATTTATTTTACAGTGATATATTACCATAGTAATAGTACATTTATTTTGTTTTTATTTAGTTATTTATATTATTAGTAGTACTAAATACACATATTTTTATTATTTTTTTTTTTTTTTTTTTTTTTTGGCAATCACATAGCATAGCAATGATCTCAGTGAAAAAAAATAGGCTTTATCTAAATTGATAAACAAACTTATATTCCATTCAGAACTGAAATTAATTATTAAAAATAGTTATGTGTTTGTTTCAGACTTTTAAGGATCATTTTGTTTAATAACAGACTATCAGACATGTTTAACCTGGTTCTCATATTTATTTACAATAACATTACTTGTTAATTCAAACATTTTTGATAACCTTTTTATGGTCAATCAATGTGTTTGATATGAAGTGATTTTCTCCAACAAAACATTGTTTTCAGGGTAAAACACTAAGAGTAACAACAACCATCAGAATATAAAGCACTGAAGAACTCAGACACATTAAAAGAAACAAGAATTCAATGCCAAACTCAAAAACCTCCTCCAAATGCATTTAGATGCTTTCTGTAAATCTCTCTACTGAAATACACACACAATGTCAGTAAATTATGAGCATAAACCACATTTCTCATTTAATACAAACTGCCTGCCGTCTAAAAATGCAGTCCTGTGAAATTATAAACCAGAGTTTCCACTCAAACTCAAGCTTCAGAAAAGACAAACTCAAGCACAGTCCCACTGAACTGGTGAGAACGGGAGAGAGTCGCCCTTCCTGAAATGATAACAAATGCCTTTATCATCCTCAGCAATCATTTCCACTGCTACAACATTCAGCAGTTCAATTCTGCAGCGATGCTATGCAACTCCAATGCAACAACTATATCATAGCCGTGCACACATATAAAACATCATGTATAAAAACTCTTGGAACATGCATCAACCAAGGATGCAAAAAATTACAGACTCTGCTCAGTTTCTAATGGGAAAAATGCTTTCGGCAGATTCATTTTCTCCCAAACCCTCTCAAGTTTTCAAGTTTCAAGTTTGGTTTATTTACATAGCACCATTAAAACAGCAGCAGCTGACCATAACAACATCGATAAAATAAATGCAAGCAAAAGCAGTAGAACACTAGTTTCACAAAGAGACAATTTTCAAACTAAATAGCAAAAGAAAATCAAAATACTAACAGAAGACAAATACAAAAATAACATTAAAAGGAACATTAAAAGCAATGGAAAAATAATGAATTTGAAGCTAAGATTTAAAAAATCTGTAATGTAGGAGCAACTCTAATGTGAACTGGTAACCTGTTCCAGAGTTTAGAGTTAATATAAACAAGTTAAATGGGTGTATTCACAGCAGGAAAGTCCGATAGTTCACTTGCTTTGGTCCGGACCAAATCAATTTTTTTTTTTTTGGTACGGTTCGCTTTCACACTGCTCTTTTTGCAAGTGAACCAAAATTTGTAAACAAAACCACACGTGTGCTAAGGCCGTCCATTCATTGGACAAGGATTCTCAAGTAGGGAAATCAGGAAGTGCAAAAAAGGCTTAACGTAAATGAACGCAGCATCATCCTTGTAACTATCGTTACATTATATGAACTGCAAATGCTTTTTTTTTTGCATCTATGCGCGATTAGACTAAAGAGAACGCTCTGTGTGTGAATGTCCTGATGCACACACTCATTCATTCCATTCCAATTAGGGATGCATCGATCCGATACTCAGTATCGGTATCGGCTCCGATACTGCCATTTTTGCCGGATCGGGTATCGGTCAGAGGAGGCCGATCCAAATCCGATATTGTGCGTATTATTCTGTGTTATTGTTAAGCCCCACAAAAGGCACAAAAACATTATCAAGTACCATAAAGTTTTCGTGCACTATCTTATAAGTGTTCTGAAGCCATTATATAGTATAATGTGAGATAAAAATTAATATTTAAGTCATTAAATTCAAGACCTCGTAAACTTTTTCCCTCCGCTGCGGCTGTCAGTCATTCTCCATTCAGCATTTAACAGCGCGTCGCGTTCTGTTACGACAGGCAACACGATGAAACTCTCCAAGATCAAGATGATTCAATGTTACTATTATTATTCTTGATCTGTAGATAAAGGTCTATGGTTTAGCATAAAACAACTTTATATTGCTGGACTTTATTGCTGTAACTAAATCATGTTACTTTCTACCGGGCGTCTGTTAGATCGCAACAGAGTAGCCTAGAGTCAGAGAGCACTATAATTGTTCTTCACGCGCACAGTAACTGAAATTTAAAACTGTTAAAAGAAAAGGCTCAATAAACGATTGCATAGATACTGTGTATAATACACTACGCATCGATATGTCTTTCCTTTGTGCTTTGAACTGTTCAATGCGGATTCGACGCGCTGCGCGCTGTGACTCCGTGTTGCTTCAAGCGCATCATTCTGCGCTCGGGATGCGCATAAGCGCTGTGTGCCGCACTGTATTGGATCCTTTCATAATCATATAATACTACTTTTGCGCAATGAAAGATTATTAATAGCCTTTCTTGTTCTGTCCTATCTATCATATGTTGCTGCCTCATTAAACAGCTGTGCTATACATTTAAAACATGTCTCAATTTATAGTAGCCTAGCCATAGGCTAGGCCCTATATATAATAATTTATCTTTTTGATTTTTGTTATCTTGTTTTTCATGAATGTATTTTACAACAATACAAAGAGCAATGTGTAATGTTTGACCAGATTTAGTGTTACACTTATTGTCTCTTATTTGTTCCCCTAAATTTTCTTCACTAAATGTTCAGATTTTATACAATTATTGTGCACTCATGATTTTTCTAGACTAAATTGCACTGCTGAATTATCCACTAATCTAGTTTATTATAGCATTTTTGTCACAGATTATGATCATATATTTTTTGGATTTGTTGTTTTTCTTTAAAATTAAGTTGTCTGTGTTAAGTAGATTGTGTTTAACACACAAAAGAGTGATTATCAGTTCAACACACAGAGTTATAGAAATTCTACTTGATTTAAAAAAAAACTGCACTGGTATCGGATTGGTATCGGTATCGGCCGATACTCAGAATTTTGGGATCGGATCGGATCGGTTTTGAAAAAGCGGTATCGTTGCATCCCTAATTCCAATGATGCACACACACGGCGCGCAGAAAGACGCGCAACAGATGTAATGTAGTAGGCTACAACAGATCACTTTCCCATAACGCAACTCCGACTACGGAAGCCTGTTAACTCAAAGGCGCAGTGCTTCCTTGCAATTGTGTCGGTTCATGTTCACACCGTAACCGAACCGTACCAGAGTTCGTTTGGAAGCGTACCGAGACACCTCTTCAGCTGGGTCTGGGTTCGGTTGTTTGGTCCGCACCCGAGTTCGATTGCTGTATTCACACCTGCCCAAAAGGTCCGCACCAAGGGGGGAAACGAACTAGAGTTCGATTCAATCGAACCAAACAAGGCAGGTGTGAATACACCCAAAAAAGACCTTTTTAATGCCACTTTGAATGAAATTTAAGACCAAACCTGTGATGGAAATACACATTATATATATATATATATACACAAACATATATGTAATATTTAATGTTTAACCGTAATTTAATATGAGCAACTTGTTTATTGAACTAAAATCAATGTTACATATGCAATCGTGAGAATATTCAGCAAAATAGCTCCCGTCATGTTATGTTACTTAACTATATCATATGTTATAAATAAAAAACTCAACATTTTGAATTTTTACCTCAGTATGTTTCTTCTGTGAGTTTTTTATGTGTCCTGTTATGCTCATTTGTTTTGATTTCTCACTATAAAATCTCTCACAGAGTATCAACAGTGATACCAGAAATACATGATCATTATCAATCTCTGTTTATGTAATAAAATCAGAATCATTCTCGCGAATCGATGCTTCACTGGTTATTTGACGGACATTGGGTCCGTCAGACTGGAGAAGTTTTAGCGGTAATGTGACCAGAAATATTTAAGACCCATCGAATCTGAATTTCAGACACTTTTATTAGGAAAACTTTATTTAAGACATTTTAAGACTTTTTAAGGACCCTGTGTTAGAGATAGAAGTTCAGATAGATATGAGGGATACAGATATCCAAACTCTCTCACCTTGAAATTGCTTGCGTTGACCCATGAGGTTGCCAGACTGTCCATCATCCGGTCCAGCATGGTCTGATCATTTTCCAGGTCATGTGACTTCTGCCTGTCCAGAATATAGTCTATGATCTCCGGTCCAACTTGAAACCGACGTCCGACCTCTTTCTGCGTGACCTGCGCCACTATGTACTCCATGTTGGGCTCCATGACTTCGTCAAGACCGACCACGACTCAGGAAGACAACACATAAAAACACAAATACTGGCCTGAAAACAACCTGTGATCTTGTTAATCCAAAGACCGAATCCAAGAGGGCGCAGGACGTGTGAATGCGGGATTGCGGGCGGCACCGGTGCAACATGTGTTGATGTTATAACCGACGACTCAAACACTGCTGGTGCAAAACCTTCAGCAGGGAAATCGTGTCAAACGGCCAGTCCATCACTGTAACGAAGTCCAGTTCCACGTCTCAGCCTCAAGTTCTGCAATGCAAATTAAAATAGTTATTTATTCACAGGTCAAGTAATATAAAAAGACTCTTTAAACCGATCAATCTTACTTATTAATAGACAAATTTAATCTTATATGATGGTTGATGTGCTCGGATTATCTTTATAAATCGAACAATAATTAAAAGATTATGGTTTATTTAAAACCAATTATAAGCGTTCATATAATACTGTTTTTTTATGATAAAAGATGTATGAATGTACGAATATGTAAGAATAAATGGTTACACTTGATTTTAAGTTGTCCTTGTTACAGTGTTATTATACATTTAAGTACTGAGTAATAATATTTAACTGCATACGTACTTACTATAGGGTTAGAGTGTTTGGTTTAGGGTTAGTTGCATGTAATTATGCATATTTTATAGGTATTAGATTACCATGGCTTGCTATTAACTTTTTTGCTCATCAGCCACTGTGACCATAGCGGTTTTTCAAAGTTACGAGCCACTCAGCATTTTCACTGGCCACAATTTTGACATCGATACCATGGGGAAAACTGCCATATAGATATTTTTTATATTTTCTCATAATTTGGCAGCAGGTATATTAGGCTGCTGTCACTTTAAGGCCACTTTAAGGCCTGTCACTTTAAGGCCTGACGCATGGATCCGTTACACATTTCTCAACTCAGTTAATTCACGTCAACTGTTTAACTGACTGTGTTTACGTGAATACTCGCCAAGACCGGTATTTTGACATTATTTTGTGTGTATTTGACTGTTTAAGCGCATCAAGCAGCGAAAAATAACTCAATTTAACACTGAGATGCGGCTTTATGCGCGCACACTTTGGGTATGAGCGCAAAATCTGCAGGAATAAGTAAAATTATGCGCAATATGCACAATCCCACGCTGAAATCCAAGCCCTGTAACACCAACAATATTCATCCGGAGCAAATGAAATGAGTGAGTGAGGAGAGGCGGGTTTGTGTGTCACTCACTGTCGGAGAGAGAGAGAGAAAGAGCAGCTGGTATCGAAGAGTTTCAGATATTTCAGTATCGATGTGTATCGAAAAAACTATATTTTTGACAACACTCATTGCACTCAGTTTATTATTTCTGATGCCTTTAAAGACTACAATTGAAAAATGTATATATTATATATAAAATTCAACCCGCCAAAGTGGCTAGGAGAGACTGCGTTACACACCACTGCTGAAATACATGCTGAAATCTGGTCGGATGGCGGGTGTTAATGTCAAGCCCTCGTTTTTACTTAACTTTATGTAACCTGAAACAAGGACTCTAAAATAAAGTGTTACCGAATAAACATGATGAACTGAAGGTAGGGCAACGTTAGAATTAGCAAAAACACACCTTAACAAAAATTGTTAGCTGGGTATATAGCTACTTTTATTTTTCATTATTGTTCTGTTCTGATTATCGATCAACTGAAAGGATTTGTTGTGGGGAGAGAGGAACTAAAACACCCTGTGTTTAGTGTTTATAATGTGTAATAAAATGCGACTTATACGTAAATTATGCCCCCCCCCCCCCTCAAAAATACATATTTGTTATCATCCCTACAATAGGCTCAACTTTTCTTTTATTTGTCCTATGGTAAAAACAATGATCAACTTATATGTAAACGCACAGTATTACTTTGAATTTTCAAATAACACAAAGTACAGTGGCAGTAATATTTTGTAATTACCATATTCAAATACCTTGATATTTATGACATTTTATGGTATGATGATGATGATATTGCCATGGTAATTTCTTGTAAGTGATTCAAATGCTAAAGATGATGTCACATGCATCATGTGTCACGTAAGAACATACATGTACCCCATATTTGAAGACATTAGCAGTCACAGTTCACCATTAAGCATTAATGAAGCAGCTGTTGTGATTGCTAACCTAACTTTAGCAGTGTTTAATTTCACCGAGCAGTTGTTTAGCAGCTGTCTGGCTAACAGATCTCAGTATAAACAGGACGGGCTGCATGACACTTACATACTAAACAAACCCCGGGCCTTTCAGGGAGAACTCAACGAGTATTACGCGCTAAAAAATACGATCAAAACATACGGATAAAACATTAGCGACACTAGCAAGCGTCTGGATATCGTTGCTTGGTAACGGTGAAGAATGTTGGTTGTTATTAGTGCACGAGGCCCAAAAAGACGATGTTTACAACACGTGCGCGACCTTACATATTTTAAAATATAAAAACTTCACGTGCATTTTTTTTTTACACACAAAATATAACAAGTGCATGCAAAAAATATTCTTAACTGATATATTTAACCTGCTTAAACATCATTCAAATAAAATGCATTTACCTGCCAAGCAAAACCGAATAAGATATTAATACATGTTACTAATATTAGAATATATTATATATATATAGAATAAAGCATATAGATATATAAGTAGCTATGTAATGCAAGTGTCATTTGTCTTGTCTTGTAAAATAAGTTCCAGCAGAAACGTTTGGTTTTAATGATGTTTAGATATTTTACTGGAGAAAAAAAGATACAATACGACATTTTGCATGACTAACAAAAAAGTACCTTGGTTTTTCCCATGGTATTTTTATTAAGTAACACATAAATGTGACACACAATTTCACTCGTTTAAATTATATTTCCTAATTCCCTTCTAGTTGCACGTGCATTCTTCCACATGGCATCAACTCATAATTAAACTATATACTAGGTTCATATAGTGTCTAACATTAATTGTACAGTAAAAGGTTTGGGGGTGACTTTTAAAAATGCAAAAGGAAGACCAACCCAACTGAGTGTACAGAATGACTAATCAATAAATTAATGCAAACAATGATCGAGATGGAAAGAAACAAGATGCAACTACAATGTCACAGTATAGCTAATGTTTGTTTTGCATGCATGCATGACAGTAATAAGATAAGATGTATCCAGTGTGGCATATGCGGTTGAATATTACTGTATGCATTAACTACTTTCCCTGATAATCCATGCAAAGCCCATGCTGAGTCAGAACGAAACTAGTGATAAAGGCTGTGAAAAAGCTCGTTTGATAACGGACGTACCTGGCATATCTCGCTCTAAACCCTCTACATTGGGAACCGTTAGCGGTGGGTTGATCATCAGTTGATATTTGGAAGGAAACAGCAGAAATCTCCGCCCATTGTGCGGCTTCAAACATCAAGATGACACTGCGCATGCGCCAGATTCAGCCGAGATAGAGCGCCATCTGCTGTCTGATGAACTCAAAAATCTGCCAGTATGGCAAGCCGTTTTAACATTTATTCATTTGCAGGATATGAACTCTTGATATTAGTGATGGGAAGTTCGGTTCTTTTGCGCGAACCGGTTCTTTCGGACAGTTCGTTTCAATGAACCGGTTCAAAAAACCGGTTCACCAGTTCTTTTACATCCTCGCGTAATGACGTCAATTATATCATCCCGGCGGATAAAAATACTTTAAATTAAAGGCATTTGTAATCATAACTTCACTTAAATAATAGTACTCATCGTCATAATCCTCTTGGATAAGTTTCTTACATTTACATTTTGCAAACGAACCCTGTAGCCTACAGGCGGATGTTTAACATGTCTTAAATATATAAAGTGCATAAGTGGTCTTCATCATTTTATTTTTAATAAACTGACATTTAGCCGAATTCGGTCCCTCATTTAAGTCCTCGGTTCACCCGTGCTGCGTGCTTATCAGCACATCATCAGTTGGCCGAAAGAAAGTTCTGTTTAGAGACGGTGTTATCACGCATAACACCTCACGCTCAGTATCTCCAGCTCATCGGTTCTCCGTATCGAACGTGTCCGAAAGAAACAGTTCTCGGTTCTGTACTGGTGATTCAAGAACTGCAACAACCATTGATGCTGCTATTTCATCCGTGTTGTCCAATCTACCTAATATTGTTTCATTAAAAGAACATCAGAGAACGGCTCTTAAGGCTTTTGTTGGTGGAAACGATGTTATATAGATCAGTGCCTTCTCCCGACCGGATTCTTCAGCGTCACGGGTTGGCTTCGGTGTGAGTGGTTGAAATAGCACGTCGATAAAGATGACAGACAAGTGGCTTATCCAATCATATGCAAGGATTTTTGATAAGGCCCAGCCTTCTGAAACGCCATTTCAATGGATCGGTTACAGATGGATGTGAGTGAAGCTAGGCGGAGCGAAATTCATCTGGCTAGGGCCAGGTTAGAATATACAGTCGACAAAACTAAAAAAAATCGATGCATGTCTTTCTTCTCCAATATGTTTAATACGTTATGTTTTAACACATTATAAACATTTACTAAGCAGCAGTGGCGTAGGCAGAAATTGTATTTTGGGTGGGCCAGTGAAAATGTGACTGGGCCTATAGTTTTTCCTAGAAAAAAATGACTTCAATAATAATTAATATTAATAGACAAACTGAAAAAACAGTTACCTTTATATTCGGCAAATCATCATGTTCAACCAACAGAGCTCAATAAAGGCTGGACAAACCAGTATAGACAATAACCTGTCTATTTTATTCAGGCTATTCAGCAGTGCAAATACAGTTCACCCGGAAAAAAAGTAAGCTAAAATAATAATATCACAGTTAGATCGGCGGATAAACCCGCGTCAGGCTGACGGGGAGAGAGGGAGCAAGAAGCGGCCGGCGCCAGCACCTGACTAGCCTTCTCCTGGGGTAATGAGTCGGAAGAACTGGGCTGGGTGGACTCGGAAGATGAAGGCAGTGGCGTGTCTTCTTCCTCAACTCTTGCTTTTTTTCAAATAGCACATTAAAGAAAGTTGTTTAGCCATTATTGTGGCGCCGACGCCGCTGAGAGTTTTCCTGTCGGAACCGAGTACGTTCCGGAGAGAGGCATTCTACAACTTGCTTCACCAGTTAAATTTTATTCGGAAAACAAATTAAACACACACAGCAGTCAACAATAAATCTGGTATATATTAATATATTTTCATAAATACATTTGAATAATAAAAATAAACTAAAAATGTATTTTTATCAAACTTGCCTGGGCGGGCCAGTGAGTAATGTGGGCGGGCCAGTGCCGCCCTGGCCCAATACTGGCTACGCCCCTGCTAAGCAGTACTGTGCAGTGTGCACCATTAAAACTTTGGCAAGAGTTTACATCAAATATTTATATCAACTTACTTAGAAATTAAATGAGCTGTTCCTGAAAATATTATTTTAAAAAATGTTTAGTTTGACAGTTTTACAATTCATTCATTGTGTTTCCAAACTTTAAAATAATACAGTGATAATACAGTAATTATGTGATAAACATGTTTCCAACATGTTTTTTTTTTATTACACTTACTGATGTTCAACTAAATAAATACTTAAGAAACGTACATTTCATCCCTCAGAAAAAAATTGCACGCATGCTCAGCTCATCGATCAGTTGTTCTCATTATGTCGAACGTGTCCGAAAGAAACAGTTCTCGGTTCTGTGCTGGTGATCCGATAACCGCTGTACATGTGCGTTCGGTAGTACGCGCATGCGCAGTATCAGCTCGTGCTCATCACTTCTCTCAAAAACAACACGTTTCAAACTCTTGGATTTACTGGAGTGAAATATACTCCGGGATATTGGTTTATTTCGAGTCAGAGGGACTGTCAGGCATGTCTGAAAGTGAGTAACTTTAGTAACTTGTGTGTCAGCAGCACTGATGCAAAACGCGAACTGTTTCGAACGATTCAGTCCGATTTAGTGTACTGATTCGACCGGTTCACTAAAAAGAACCAGTTCAAAAGAACGATTCGTTCACGATCCGGCCATACTTGATATCAACAATTCAGATTTCACTAATTAAAATACCAATTCCTGATATCAGGAATTAGATTTCTTACTAAATGGGGCGGCAGTGGCTCAGTGGTTCATGTGGGTTGTCTACAAACCGGAAGGTTGGTGGTTCAATCCCAGGTTCCACCTGACCAAGTGTCTGTCGAGGTGTCCATGAGCAAGACACCTAACCCCGGCTGCTCCCGACGAGCTGGATGGCGCCTTGTATGGCAGACACCGCCGTCGGTGTAGAATGAGTGAATGAATGGGTGAATGTGAGCCAAATTGTAAAGCGCTTTGGTGGCCATTGGGTCTGTGAAAGCACTATATAAATGCAGTCCATTTACTAGTAAAAATGTTAATTCTTGATATCAACAATGACTCAGAAATACAAATTCTTGATATCAAGAATTTAATTTTAACTAGTAAAAATTATAAATCTTTGATATCTGTAATTGTATTTTCACTAGTTAAAGGCACACTGTGGAACTTTTCAACCTTTATAATATATTACCAAAACCCATTGAGATGGTACATCGACTTACAATAGGTTGAATGACACGTCTGCCGAAGCCTGAAGGTGTCTGTATCGCTTTTACTAGCACTATGTAACTTCGGGTTTCGGGAAGGAACCCGAGCACAAAAAGAACTACAAAATTCGACCGCTTTACGGCATACGCCACTTCCCCCACCACCCCAACTTCCTCTAACGTGAGAGCTCAACTCGCGTTTGATTGCCGGCGTCTGTATGTTGTCGTCATGGCTGAACCAACAGCTACTCGGAAGAACGCGAAGAAAGCAAAGATTTTCTCAGAGGAGACCAAAAAAAGAAAAAGGGAGAGTTTAAAATAAACATCGGCATAAAAGTGTATATAATGTAATATTTACTGCGAATTCGTGTAACAAAACTGATATAAGTCACAACATACTGCCGTATACAAATGTAAATGTAAATGTTTTTTTTTCCTTTCAGCTCATATATGTTTGTATTTGTGTAAAAGGAAAAACAAACTGAAGACTACACATAACGGAAATATGTAGTGAGTTATATCAGTTTTGTTACACGATTTCCTGACTACTCGATTTGATCTCCAACCCATTGCAAAGAGATCCTGAAGACATTAATTGTTTGCTTCAGGTGTGTTTGATTAGGGTTGGAGATGAACTGTGCAGGACAGACGATCGGCAGGAGCAGGATTGGGCAACCCTTGTCAATGCGACTTACCTGATCAGACATTGTTTTCTGCGTATGCTACTTTTATTCAATTTGTTTTCTTTATAGGATTTATATTATTAATCTTATATTTATATTATTATTTTGGTCAGTAGTGAATCGATTAACTTTCTCCAACATACAAATCAAATGCCGTCTGCACACACATAAAGACACGGGTGGTTGACTGTTTGTTGACTTTTGCGACGGCGCTTGTGGCCTCTATAGGGGCACTAGACGTGAAAATTACAGGTCAAGCGCACCCTAGTGGCCAAAAATTCCACAGTGTGCCTTTAAATCTCACCAAAGGCTGCCTTTAAAATCAATTGCTGATATCAGGAATTGATTTCTTACTATAGTTGAAAATCCAATTCCACATATCAGAAATACAGTTAGTAAAAATCATAATTTTTTAACATCAATGATCGAATGGTTAATAGTGCCAATGTCTCTTCTTGATATCAACAATTGAATTGCTAATAGTAACATTTTTTTTTATCAATAATTCGATTGTCACTAGTGACAATGTTCATTTCTGAGTTACCAGTAAGAAAACTATTTTAGACATCTGAAATTACTCTGCTAATTATTGATATCAGAAATACATTTACAGATATCCGAAATAACAAATGCAACATGTTGAAATACATTTATCAAGAATTAACATGTCAACTAGTGTAAATTGAGTTCTTGAAATCAGGAATTTATACATATTTGTATTATTTATATTTATGAATATTGTATTTTACCAGTAATAATTCTGATATGTGAAATTAGAATTTCAACTAGTAAGAAATAAATTCTTGACATCAACAATTGACTACGAATGGCAGTCTATGGTGACATTTAGCTAGTGAAAATACAATTACAGATATCAAGAATTATAGTTTTTACTAGTTGAAATGTAATTCTTGATATCAACAATTCATATTTCTGTAAGTGATGATGTCATTGTTGATATCAAGAATTGACATTTTTACTAGTGGAAATGTAATTCCTGACATCAAAAATCGCCATTGTTACTAGTAGAAATCTAATTCCTGATATCAATAATTAGCATTTTAACTATAGTGAAAATTGTTGATATCAAGAGTTCATATCCTGCGAATGAATAAATGTTAATTCGGCTTGCCATACTACTTGCGCCTTCATTTTTTAATAAATTCTGAAATGCAGACTTCCCAAATGCTTGTTAAAACTTATTTTTCACCAACGTCAAGTAAAAAGAATGAAGATTGAAAAATATAAAGTTTCATATGCATCATGTTTGGCGCTCAACAACAGCTTTACATCATGTGTTCACGCGTTATTTTACTCCTCCCATCATTTTCTTCCTCCGACGACACACGAATCCAAGCGCTCTTTGATAACATGTCGTTTGGCATCGAATGCTGACATATTAAGTTATTATCAAAGTATGCGTTATATTCTGTCTAAATCGTTGTCAAACGGGAGAAAACAAGAACTGAAATGTCAAATGAAACAACTGTCTGACTTCCTGAAGTAACTGTGACTCCTGCTCGCACTCAGGTGAGTTTCTCAAGTTTCATAAATAATAAAAGTCACATAACGACGAGAAACTAATTTCATAATTATTTTAGGGCATAACATGTAAAAAAAATAAAAAATAATCATATACAAATAATCAGAATGTTGCCTGTTCCTCAAATATAGTATCCTATCCTATATACTAAAATATTGATCATACTTTTTAAAATATTATTTTGTCATACCAAATATATTCCCTTGAAAAAGTAAAGTAAGGGATTACAATTAATTTTTCTGTGATTTCATTACAGTTCATTACATCAAAATGTAGCCTAATGTTAAAATGTACGTTTTTAATGTCACCTTCTCCCTTTACACATCGGCTCAAGAATAAGTTATGCAATTGTATATTGTTTATTTGAAAGAATTAAAAGAGCCGTTTCATGACTATCCTTGTATTGTTGTTCAACTGGTCGAGGTTGATATGGGATTTAGAAAGTAATGCAATACTTTTTAGAGAGAGTAATTAGTACAGTCATCTAATTACACTGCAAATGTGTATAGTAGCTAGTAATTAATACATTTTTTAGAGTAACTTAACCAACACTATATATATATATATATATATATATTTTTTTTTTTTGGTTTATTTGCCAAATGTCTGGAAACATTTGAATCAGATTATCAGTGATAAAGCACGAGTATTTACTCGTCTTTTCTTTATCAAACTGACTCTTCCTGCCGAACTTCCTTTTGCCTCATTTTCATTCACTTTGCTTTGCATTGAAATCTTATGAACCATCTCCACCACATTTGTCACGCTTAGTAAGACAGAATCATGATCTATCTTTCTATAAAGGTTGATGTTTTGTGTAACTGTATAAAGGTTGATGTTTTGTGTAACTGCTTGCATGGCAAAATCTCTCTGTCTTGTGGTCTGCAGTTTTGCATGAGCTGCAGAATCTTGGCACACACAGATAAAGAGTCATAATGCAGTGTGTCCTATTTAGGGACGCTGCATGGGTGGATGTTACACTAAGGCCTATTTTTCCCCAGTAGAAAACAGTTCTGACCTCTTTCTTACGCCGCCATACCTGGTCACTGACAGCTTTCAGAAGTCATCTTGGTTTCTGCCAGTCTGTGAAGATTCACTGTTCATGTGTGCAAACATGCGCTCGTGACTGAACATATACATTAAAATAACTGCAGCCCCGTATTGTATGAGTAGCACTTGTTATGTTAGCACTATGTCAACTGTACTTTTCTCCACATGCTCTATTTTGCAAACATTTCACATGTAGACCATTGCAATGGAGTCGTTGTTTAAATTACAATTACACTCTAAAAAATGCTGGGTTGTTTCAACCCAAATTTGGGTCAAATATGGACAAACCCAAATGCTGGGTTAAGAATGTAATTAAAAAATTTACAGTTGAAAGTGAAAAGAAATTTGTTGAAGTTGGGTTAAAATTTTAAATTACATTTTTAACCCAACATTTGGGTTTGTCCATATTTGACCCAAATTTGGGTTGAAACAACCCAGTATTGTTTAGAGTATAGGTTACATAGGATACTCCTTGTTTGCCTACAACAACAGTTTATCGTGAGAGTCAGGAGGACAAAACCTTTTAGGCTATTCTTGACCCAAAATTGTCATACTGTATGACTAAGTTTTTGAATATTCTATAAACATCTGTTATGATTCTTTAAATGGGTTTTTGTGTTGTTGCGCTCCAATTGAAAGTCAAGCATGTTTTGTTATATTTCACAGAAAAAACAACAGCATATGAATTTGGAGTGACATAAAGCAGAATAAATAATGGCAGATTTTTTATTTAGTAATTATTATTCATTCATTAAATCTCAAAACTATGAACCCCAAAAGGTTGGCATGGTGATGGGAAATAAAAAATACACTTTGTGTAAAAACAGAAAGTAGCTGGATAGGAGACCTTTGGAAGAAAACTAGGGCTGTGTCTGAAATCGCCCCCTAAACCCTCATTCACTACTCCCTACATTAGTCCACTTATATAGTCCATTTGAAGGAGTGAATGAAAACGAGTGAATGGATTTGGACACTGAGTGCGCCAGACGGGCCGCCACTTTTGCGTAGTTTGTGCTTGTTGTTTATTAGTCACTTAGCAAACTTACTGTTTTTCACCTACTATATAGTAGGGAAGTATGCGATTTTTAATGCAGCCACAGATTTGTCGAATCATACGTCTTCAATAGCGGTTCACTTCTGTGATTTAGTATGATACCAGAGTTCACATGAACCGTACCCCAGTCCACCCTTTTTAAGCGGACTCGGGTACGGTTCAAGGGTGCGCACCTGAGATCAGAAAACAGCGTTCACGTCATCCAAACGAACCGAACTCCTAAAGTCCTAGTGTGAAAGCACGCTATAACAACCCGGTGGGAGAGATGATAGGGACACTATACTGTAAAAAGCACAGATGAGACGTACAACCAAGTTCCTGACTCTCAGTGGTCTCTCTAAATCCCATGGCACTTCTCATAAATATTGGCTTGCAAAACTATTGCATTCCCCTGAGAAACTTTGCATTAGCTCGCAAGATATTTGCATTCTCTCTCTCTCTCTCAATATTATTTCCTTTACAAAAGTTTTGTGAGTGAACGCAAAAGCATTGATATACAAATTTTCCTCCCATCTCATATTTTTTTCCATAACCATGTTCCGGTATAGCCTGGCTAACGTCAGACCACGTCTCATTGACATTGAGACTTGGGTCTGGGAACCACATCATGTTCATTTTCTCGTATTTGAGGCGTGGTTTATGAATGCCCAGAGCCATTTATTGGGTGCTACAAATGTCTATCAAATGCGCCTGTACGTAGCTCATAGCCAATCGTTTCAATAGGCTCTATCACGGTGGTGCATGCAGGGGCGGCCTTACCTATGTTTCACCCGTTTCAATTGAAACAGGCCCCGCCCTCCAAGGGGGCCCCAACAGACCAGCAAAGTCCTATTCATTTTCTCCGTAGGATATTGATTTTCACCCATAATGTCTAAACCATTCAAGGTAGATTGACCACGAGCTACGAGGTTGTGAAATGAAAGTTTCTGCTCCTTTAAAAGCTACAAGCTACGAAATCAACTTTGTTATATGCAAAACACTGACGTCTCTGATTGGTGGAACTCGCGGTTACCATGGCGACGTTTACCACTCCCGCGAACGGCTTAACCTCTTAACCCTGCATGGGCCCGCCGGCGGGCCCATTTGCCATTGCATGTTTAAAACAATAATATCTTAGTAAAAACCTAAAGTAATATTGCCAAACTATATATCATTTGAAAGCTTAAAATCTCTAGTTTTCATATTTGGTGGCTGTTATCTAAAATATATTACAGAGGAGCAGAAATTTATCAATTTGCAACAAGAATATTTCATATTCATTAGGAGTATTTAGGCCTTTATTTTGAAATAACAATAAACATGAAAAATCATGAAAGATTGGTAGAAACCTCAGTTTGTTTTCATGCCATGAGTTCAAAAGATAACACCAATTCCATTTTATGAGAAAAAAAGGTCTGAAAATGTTTTAAATATAAAGAAAAATGTATGGATTCTCGATTTGTAATGCGGCTGCGAGCTATAACGCTATAACGTAGTCTTTATGCATTTATTAGAGGTTTAATTCAAATCAAATACTGCCAAACCACCCCTACTACTTCTGAATAGGATGTCTACTTCATAAATTGTATGAAAATTATGGAAATACATGGTTCAGATCACTCAAAACATATGAAAATGGAGGCGCCCTTATATGGGCAGTAATGGATTCTGGTGTTCACCTAGTGAAAAAGTTGGGTACTGCGCCCGAATAAAATCTTACTGAAAGCTCATTTTTTTAGATATCAACCTAAAATTTGGAATACAACTTGTTCAGATATTTGACTTTATTTTTCTTGCAGTTTTAGAGTAAAATATATTTTGTAATATATATATTTTATATAAAATATTAATCATTATATTTTTACATTACACAATTTCATAAACTCAAACTTATATAACTTTTTTTCTGTTTCATTTTTTACAATTTCTGGACTTCTACAATAATCTGGAAAATGTCTTCTTTAAAACAAGACCAGCCATAGGTCTATATTCCAAAGCATTCCTGAATTACAACCATTTAAGTTTGGATAGTGATTTTTATGTCTATGCAAAAAAAAGGGGGGTGACAGTTAAATTAAGCGATCTGAAGTATAATATCGGTAGTTTATGTATTTATACCTTTGCCTTTTTTGCCGTTAGGTGAAAATGTTATTTTGAGCAGAAAAATAATTTTAAGAGGAAATGATACTGAAAACCGAAAGATATCGGACAACAAAAGAAAAGCTTTATTCAGTCTACCAAAAGTGAAGTTACCCTGCGTGAAAGGGCGAGGCTTATTCCATGAAATATAATTGTATATAGTTTTAATCAAATAAGGTTGGATTATTTCTATGTTGAGCTGCCTGTTCATGAAGCTGAAAGTGCACGTAATAAAATAATATACCATTGATGCAAACCAACAGGAATCCTTGCTTTTTCTGCTCTATTATGTTCATGTTTTATGTAGGGCCAAATTATTAGTTATTGAAACGGGCCCCCAGATGCTTAAGGCCGCCACTGGGTGCATGACGTATTTCCGGTGAAGGTCTAAGGATGCTGGATTACTTCCGCCGATCGTAGAGTGCTATGCTATACCGAGAATTTATATTGGCTTCTATACTCTATTGCTATACTAAAGGAACGTTAGTCACAAAAACAGACAAAACAGCCACCCCTCATTTTGTTTATGCTTATTTGCTTTATTATATTAAATAAACATAACTATATATATATATAAAATGACATCTAAACGTATGAAAGTTTCGTTTCAAAAACGGGAGGACAGCGAATTTTGAAGACTCTGCTATAATCCCGTTTTCCTCCGCTTTAAATCTCCCCAACCGGAAACTGAAGAGCAGCCTGACACCAAACCGTTTGTAAATCCGTCAAGATTTCAACGACATAAGAGTATTTGTGTTCGTGCTGATCACTCATCTTACATCAGGTACCATAGATATCCATAATAAAGGCTAGATGTCTTACGGCGGAGTCTCTATCGTCATCACCGGCGGCCATCTTGTCACAGGCAAGCTTTCTGGCGGGCTCTGTGGTGCCTGACATAGATATCCATAATAAAGGCTAATAATAGAGTCTCTATCGTCATCACCGGCGGCCATCTTGTCACAGGCAAGCGTTCTGGCGGGCTCTGTGGTGCCTGATGTAAGATGAGTGATCAGCACGAACACAGATACTCTTATCTCGTTGAAATCTTGACGGATTTACAAACGGTTTGGTTTCTTACAAACGTTATTAACGTGGCTATAATTCTGGATGATTATTTATTTATACACTTATTATTAATAAGTTTGCAGTGTCATAACTACATCTCTGACGTTTATAACAAACTAAACCGTTTGAAAATTGAGCAAGTTACGGTTATTTAAAAAGTACATGCACCATTAAAACACAATGTTACGAGTGAGCGAGCTGCCTGTGACAAGATGGCCGCCAGGTGCGGACGTCGACCTCCATTGGCCAGCAGCGCGAACAAGACATCTAGCCTTTATTATGGATATCTATGTCAGGCACCACAGAGCCCGCCAGAAAGCTTGCCTGTGACAAGATGGCCGCCGGTGATGACGATAGAGACTCTGCCATAAGACATCTAGCCTTTATTATGGATATCTATGATCCAGACTGCCTAGCAGCGTGAATAAAATCGTAGCAGTATGGGGAAACCCAGGCTAGTTCCGTTAGGGGCTCAGCACAAAACCACAGAAAAAATGAATGTGCTATTTCTCATCTTTTATACAGATACCTGACCCACATGGCCCATCAGTACTCGTCTCTAAACTGTCCAGAGGAGAATGACGAAACCACGAGTGAAGATTTTGAGTCAGACCTTCACCCAGACGTCACCAATAACCGCTCCACAACCATGCAGATTATTCACCAGAGTTACCCTCAGTCTTCAGCGTACGCCCATCAGACGCCCTTCCCCAGCTGGGACGATCACAAGGGCTGGTTGCCCTCAGGTTCTCCTCACAGTCTTCCCTCCTGTCTTCCCTCTGCCATCTATCACACACTCTCAGAGACCAGCTCGTTTTTTCCCAGCAGGCCTCACTCTCTTCCAGGCAGTTGTAGCCCGAGTCTAGAGCATCCAGGATCTTTGCATTCGTTTCCTCCGTCTGTGAACACACACCACTATCCCTCGCCCTCGTACCCCGGCGCTCACATGCAGTGTTGTGGTCCGTGTCGCCCTCCTCCACGTCACATGACCCCCGTTCATCATCACTGCGGCTCCAGACCGGGTCATCAGCTGCCCTTCAGACCCTCAGGTGCGTTACACGAGAAACTTATCATAATGTTCGAAAGTTTGGGGTTGCTTTTATTCTGTAAGGATGCATTATGACAGTAAAGACATTTATAATGTAGCAAAAGATGGTAACACTTTATTTTACAGTGTCCTTGTTACATGTACTTACCATAGTAATAACAGTAAATTATTGCATAATTACATGCAACTAACCCTCAACCAAATCCTAATCCTTCCCTAACCCTATGGTAATTGTATTACTATACTCAGTACTTAAATATATAATTACACTGTAACAATGACACCTTCAAATAAAGTGTAACCCAAAAGATTTCCATTTCAAAATTCTGTACTTTTGAACTTTCTATTCATCAAACAATCTTAAAAATAAATGGGTCTTGAGCATTAAATCCTCATATTAGAGTGATTTCTGAAGGATCATGTGACACTGAAGACTGGAGTAATGATGCTGAAAATTCAGCTTTTATCACAGGAATAAATTACACTTTACTATGTATTCACTTATTTTAAATTGTATTAATATTTCACTGTTTTTACTGTATTTTTGATCAAATAAATGCAGCCTTTGTGAGCAAAAGAGACTTCTTTCAAAAACATTTTAAAGAACTATTACAGACCCCAAACTTTTGAATGGAAGTATACCTCAACTTAAAGGTTTAAATGCAGCACTTTGTTCATCAAAGATGCCTTTTTTATTGTTTTTATATGGTTCTTTGGAGGTTAAAATATTCTACATCTGGGATAATTCTACTTGATAATTGAAAATATAGGTTCTCCAGATGCATATTTTGATTTCTGGATAGTTTTCTAAAAAAAAACTATGGATTACTAAAGCAAGTTGTAAAATGTGTTTGTTCTAATTGAGAGAAATAGAAAGAAATATGTTCCACCCATCATACTGACCTCTATGTTGTCCCAAAACTATATGACTTTCTTTCTTCTTTGAAACAAAAGTGGCCTTAAACCGAAAGTACAAGCTGTTCAAAGTCCACAAAAAAAGGGACAAAATGTTGATGCAGTTGAGTATGAGAACTTGCCATGTTGCATTTGTTTATGTGACACTATCAAAACTGACACAAGGCATCTAAATGCAATCATTTTGAATTGAACACAAGCGTTTATGTACAAAAACAGCGTAATAAGTAGGTCAGAAAAACGTGAGGGTGAGTAAATGACAAACTACACATTCATTCAACCATGAACTCTCAGAATCACTGCTATATGAGTTTATTCTGTGTGTCTACATTTTTGTTGGCTTTATTTTACAGGTCTGACGCAGTATAGACAAGTGGATACAAGAAGTGGATATTTTGAAAAGTGAGTCCTTTTACCTGCACATATTACAACAACTGAACACGTATGGTCCAGTCATAAGAAAAGACATTGCTTTCAAATCAGAATTCATTCACAATTAATTTGCAATTCTTGCAATTGCGAGTTTGTCTCAAAAAGTCAGAATGGCAAGTTATTGGAATTGCAAGAATTCAGAGTTTATATTATAGGGTTGTCAAAAGTGCCTGTACTTCGGTACTGAAATTTAAAAAATGTGACGATACAGCATTTCTGCAGTATCCGTAGGTAGTACCGATTACTGGGTATGTTTGTTACCCGCTGATAAACACTGCTTTCAAAAGCTTCCGTGTGTACTGTGTACGGCCCGGTATTTGCTGTTAAAAACGGGAGACGCTGGTCAATGAAACGAAGAAAAAGCAACTTTAAAAAATAAAATAAATTTAAGTTTAAACGTTAGCCCCGTGTGTTAGAAGGCTGTGTAGTGCGAGAGATACTGCAAAAGACGCGAGACCAAGCCCAATGGTTAAAGACTTTCCGTGTGAATGTGTGTAAGCGCTCTGTGAAGAGCGTCAACGGTTTCTATTTACAACGTGTTTTTAAAGTGTTGATCATTGTAGCCAATCACAGGCGTATCTGTTGAGTGTGTGAACGCAGTGGCCAATCACAGGCGTATCTGTTGAGTGTGTGAACGCAGTGGCCAATCACAGGCGTATCTGTTGAGTGTGTGAACGCAGTGGCCAATCAGAGGCGTATCTGTTGAGTGTTTGAACTCAGTGGCCAATCACAGGCGTATCTGTTGAGTGTGTGAACGCAGTGGCCAATCAGAGGCGTATCTGTTGAGTGTTTGAACTCAGTGGCCAATCACAGGCGTATCTGTTGAATGTGTGAACTCAGTGGCCAATCACAGGCGTATCTGTTGAATGTGTGAACGCAGTGGCCAATCACAGGCGTATCTGTTGAATGTGTGAACTCAGTGGCCAATCACAGGCGTATCTGTTGAGTGTGTGAACGCAGTGGCCAATCACAGGCGTATCTGTTGAATGTGTGAACGCAGTGGCCAATCAGAGGCGTATCTGTTGAGTGTGTGAACGCAGTGGCCAATCAGAGGCGTATCTATTGAGTGTGTGAACGCAGTGGCCAATCACAGGCGTATCTGTTGAGTGTGTGAACGCAGTGGCCAATCAGAGGCGTATCTGTTGAGTGTGTGAACGCAGTGGCCAATCACAGGCGTATCTGTTGAGTGTGTGAACGCAGTGGCCAATCACAGGCGTATCTGTTGAGTGTGTGAACGCAGTGGCCAATCAAAGCGTATCTGTTGAGTGTGTGAACGCAGTGGCCAATCAGAGGCGTATCTGTTGAGTGTGTGAACGCAGTGGCCAATCAGAGGCGTATCTGTTGAGTGTGTGAACGCAGTGGCCAATCACAGGCGTATCTGTTGAGTGTGTGAACGCAGTGGCCAATCACAGGCGTATCTGTTGAGTGTGTGAACGCAGTGGCCAATCAAAGCGTATCTGTTGAGTGTGTGAACGCAGTGGCCAATCAAAGGCGTATCTGTTGAGTGTGTGAACGCAGTGGCCAATCACAGGCGTATCTGTTGAGTGTGTGAACGCAGTGGCCAATCACAGGTGTATCTGTTGAGTGTGTGAACGCAGTGGCCAATCAGAGGCGTATCTGTTGAGTGTGTGAACGCAGTGGCCAATCACAGGCGTATCTGTTGAGTGTGTGAACGCAGTGGCCAATCACAGGCGTATCTGTTGAGTGTTTGAACGCAGTGGCCAATCAAAGGCGTATCTGTTGAGTGTGTGAACGCAGCGGCCAATCACAGGCGTATCTATTGAGTGTGTGAACGCAGTGGCCAATCACAGGCGTATCTGTTGAGTGTGTGAACGCAGTGGCCAATCACAGGTGTATCTGTTGAGTGTGTGAACGCAGTGGCCAATCACAGGCGTATCTGTTGAGTGTGTGAACGCAGTGGCCAATCAGATCCGTATCTGTTGAGTGTGTGAACGCAGTGGCCAATCACAGGCGTATCTGTTTAGTGTGTGAATGCAGTGGCCAATCACAGGTGTATCTGTTGAATGTGTGAACTCAGTGGCCAATCACAGGCGTATCTGTTGAGTGTGTGAACGCAGTGGCCAATCAGAGGCGTATCTGTTGAGTGTGTGAACTCAGTGGCCAATCACAGGCGTATCTGTTGAGTGTGTGAACGCAGTAGCCAATCACAGGCGTATCTGTTGAGTGTGTGAACACAGTGGCCAGTCACAGGCGTATCTGTTGAGTGTGTGAACGCAGTGGCCAATCAGAGGCGTAATTGTTGAGTGTGTGAACACAGTGGCCAATCACAGGCGTATCTGTTGAGTGTGTGAACGCAGTGGCCAATCAGAGGCGTATCTGTTGAGTGTGTGAACGCAGTGGCCAATCACAGGCGTATCTGTTGAGTGTGTGAACGCAGTGGCCAATCAGAGGCGTAATTGTTGAGTGTGTGAACACAGTGGCCAATCAGATCCGTATCTGTTGAGTGTGTGAACGCAGTGGCCAATCAGAGGCGTATCTGTTGAGTGTGTGAACGCAGTGGCCAATCAGAGGCGTATCTGTTGAGTGTGTGAACGCAGTGGCCAATCAGAGGCGTAATTGTTGAGTGTGTGAACGCAGTGGCCGATCAGAGGCGTATCTGTTGAGTGTGTGAATGCAGTGGCCAATCACAGGCGTATCTGTTGAGTGTGTGAACGCAGTGGCCAATCAGATCCGTATCTGTTGAGTGTGTGAACACAGTGGCCAGTCACAGGGGTATCTGTTGAGTGTGTGAACGCAGTGGCCAATCAGATCCGTATCTGTTGAGTGTGTGAACGCAGTGGCCAATCAGAGGGGTATCTGTTGAGTGTGTGAACACAGTGGCCAATCACAGGTGTATCTGTTGAGTGCGTGAACGCAGTGGCCAATCAGAGGCGTATCTGTTGAGTGTGTGAACGCAGTGGCCAATCAGAGGCGTATCTGTTGAGTGTGTGAACGCAGTGGCCAATCAGAGGCATATCTGTTGAGTGTGTGAACGCAGTGCCCAATCAGAGGCATATCTGTTGAGTGTGTGAACGCAGTGGCCAATCAGAGGCGTATCTGTTGAGTGTGTGAACGCAGTGGCCAATCAGAGGCGTATCTGTTGAGTGTGTGAACGCAGTGCCCAATCAGAGGCATATCTGTTGAGTGTGTGAACGCAGTGGCCAATCACAGGCGTATCTGTTGAGTGTGTGAACGCAGTGGCCAATCACAGGCGTATCTGTTGAGTGTGTGAACGCAGTGGCCAATCACAGGCGTATCTGTTGAGTGTGTGAATGCAGTGGCCAATCACAGGCGTATCTGTTGAGTGTGTGAACGCAGTGGCCAATCACAGGCGTATCTGTTGAGTGTGTGAACGCAGTGGCCAATCACAGGCGCATCTGTTGAGTGTGTGAACACAGTGGCCAGTCACAGGCGTATCTGTTGAGTGTGTGAACACAGTGGCCAGTCACAGGCGTATCTGTTGAGTGTGTGAACACAGTGGCCAATCAGAGGCGCATCTGTTGAGTGTGTGAACACAGTGGCCAATCAGAGGCGTATCTGTTGAGTGTGTGAACACAGTGGCCAGTCACAGGCGTATCTGTTGAGTGTGTGAACACAGTGGCCAATCAGAGGCGTATCTGTTGAGTGTGTGAACACAGTGGCCAATCAGAGGCGTATCTGTTGAGTGTGTGAACACAGTGGCCAGTCACAGGCGTATCTGTTGAGTGTGTGAACGCAGTGGCCAATCAGAGGCGTAATTGTTGAGTGTGTGAACACAGTGGCCAATCACAGGCGTATCTGTTGAGTGTGTGAACGCAGTGGCCAATCAGAGGCGTATCTGTTGAGTGTGTGAACGCAGTGGCCAATCACAGGCGTATCTGTTGAGTGTGTGAACGCAGTGGCCAATCAGAGGCGTAATTGTTGAGTGTGTGAACACAGTGGCCAATCAGATCCGTATCTGTTGAGTGTGTGAACGCAGTGGCCAATCAGAGGCGTATCTGTTGAGTGTGTGAACGCAGTGGCCAATCAGAGGCGTATCTGTTGAGTGTGTGAACGCAGTGGCCAATCAGAGGCGTAATTGTTGAGTGTGTGAACGCAGTGGCCGATCAGAGGCGTATCTGTTGAGTGTGTGAATGCAGTGGCCAATCACAGGCGTATCTGTTGAGTGTGTGAACGCAGTGGCCAATCAGATCCGTATCTGTTGAGTGTGTGAACACAGTGGCCAGTCACAGGGGTATCTGTTGAGTGTGTGAACGCAGTGGCCAATCAGATCCGTATCTGTTGAGTGTGTGAACGCAGTGGCCAATCAGAGGGGTATCTGTTGAGTGTGTGAACACAGTGGCCAATCACAGGTGTATCTGTTGAGTGCGTGAACGCAGTGGCCAATCAGAGGCGTATCTGTTGAGTGTGTGAACGCAGTGGCCAATCAGAGGCGTATCTGTTGAGTGTGTGAACGCAGTGGCCAATCAGAGGCATATCTGTTGAGTGTGTGAACGCAGTGCCCAATCAGAGGCATATCTGTTGAGTGTGTGAACGCAGTGGCCAATCAGAGGCGTATCTGTTGAGTGTGTGAACGCAGTGGCCAATCAGAGGCGTATCTGTTGAGTGTGTGAACGCAGTGCCCAATCAGAGGCATATCTGTTGAGTGTGTGAACGCAGTGGCCAATCACAGGCGTATCTGTTGAGTGTGTGAACGCAGTGGCCAATCACAGGCGTATCTGTTGAGTGTGTGAACGCAGTGGCCAATCACAGGCGTATCTGTTGAGTGTGTGAATGCAGTGGCCAATCACAGGCGTATCTGTTGAGTGTGTGAACGCAGTGGCCAATCACAGGCGTATCTGTTGAGTGTGTGAACGCAGTGGCCAATCACAGGCGCATCTGTTGAGTGTGTGAACACAGTGGCCAGTCACAGGCGTATCTGTTGAGTGTGTGAACACAGTGGCCAGTCACAGGCGTATCTGTTGAGTGTGTGAACACAGTGGCCAATCAGAGGCGCATCTGTTGAGTGTGTGAACACAGTGGCCAATCAGAGGCGTATCTGTTGAGTGTGTGAACACAGTGGCCAGTCACAGGCGTATCTGTTGAGTGTGTGAACACAGTGGCCAATCAGAGGCGTATCTGTTGAGTGTGTGAACACAGTGGCCAATCAGAGGCGTATCTGTTGAGTGTGTGAACACAGTGGCCAATCACAGGCGTATCTGTTGAGTGTGTGAACACAGTGGCCAGTCACAGGCGTATCTGTTGAGTGTGTGAACGCAGTGGCCAATCACAGGCGCATCTGTTGAGTGTGTGAACATAGTGGCCAGTCACAGGCGTATCTGTTGAGTGTGTGAACGCAGTGGCCAATCAGAGGCGTATCTGTTGAGTGTGTGAGCACAGTGGCCAATCACAGGCGTATCTGTTGAGTGTGTGAACACAGTGGCCAATCACAGGCGCATCTGTTGAGTGTGTGAACACAGTGGCCAATCACAGGCGTATCTGTTGAGTGTGTGAACACAGTGGCCAATCAGAGGCGTATCTGTTGAGTGTGTGAACACAGTGGCCAATCACAGGCGCATCTGTTGAGTGTGTGAACACAGTGGCCAGTCACAGGCGTATCTGTTGAGTGTGTGAACACAGTGGCCAGTCACAGGCGTATCTGTTGAGTGTGTGAACGCAGTGGCCAATCAGATCCGTATCTGTTGAGTGTGTGAACGCAGTGGCCAATCAGAGGCGTATCTGTTGAGTGTGTGAACGCAGTGGCCAATCACAGGTGTATCTGTTGAGTGCGTGAACGCAGTGGCCAATCAGAGGCGTATCTGTTGAGTGTGTGAACGCAGTGGCCAATCACAGGCGTATCTGTTGAGTGTTTGAACGCAGTGGCCAATCAGAGGCGTATCTGTTGAGTGTGTGAACGCAGTGGCCAATCACAGGCGTATCTGTTGAGTGTGTGAACGCAGTGGCCAATCAGAGGCGTATCTGTTGCGTGTGTGAACGCAGTGGCCAATTAGAGGCGTATCTGTTGAGTGTGTGAACGCAGTGGCCAATCACAGGTGTATCTGTTGAGTGTGTGAACGTAGTGGCCAATCACAGGCATTTTAGTATGTCAGAATCCACTCAACACCACTCAAAAGACGAATAGACCCGTCACTTGTTCTATGTAACGTGTAGGTTTTTTTGTAAATCATATTACTTAATTTTCACTTGATCATTATTATTTATAATTTACATATAATTTAAATATATCATAAATAAATAAAACACTATTTAATTTAATTAATACATTTTAAATACTTAAAAAAAAGAGTAAAACAGTTTCAACAGTTTTTGCTATGGTACTGAAATTGGTACTGAGAACCGCAATTCTGGCTTTTGTCTTTGAATTATGAGATATAAATTCACAATTGTGAGATAAAGTTTTTTTTTATTCCATTGTTGAAACAAATAATTAAGAGAAAGACTCATTCATTTAAAAAAATAAATAAATAAAGCTTAAATTGTACAAGTTTATCATGTCAATCTACTCATGCAGTTTATGCTGAGAGTAAGGTGTAACTTCTGTATGTGTGTGTCTTCAGTGGTCATGCATCTCTGAACCCCAGTCAGTGTATCACACACCTGTCACAGGAACAGAGTGAGTACTACTTCCTGTCTTCCACATCAACACAACCAAATGACCTAGAATAACTCAAATACAGCACGGTTCATATGCTGAAGCCTCGAATCAGCCCGTGTGCTCCTGTGTTTCGCTCTTTCACGTGTGTCGCGTATTTTTCCCCACACAGGGAAAGTTTTTGTCACATACGAGGCCGACAGTGAAGAGCATCTGAAGGAGATCATTAAGTTTGTGGCTTTGCTCAGGAACAACGGCTTTGACACGCATGTACAGAGATAATCATTTAAAAAAACTATTTTCAGATGAATCTTGACATAGTTGAAGTGGGTTTGGCTTGATTCTTGAGACTTTGTGCACACAGATTGATGTTTTCGAGCAACAGCTGAACAGCATTAGTAAGATTGACTGCATGGAGAGATATCTCAATGAGGTAAATATACAAGTGACATCATCAGTGGCGTCATCTAAACACCTACAATTACAGTCTCTCTCTCTCTCTCTCTCTCTCTCTCTCTCTCTCTGCAGAAAGATTACCTAATCATCATCATCATCAGCTTGAGGTATTACGAGACAATATCAGGCATTAAAATCAATATGGACAGTGACGAGAGAACGTCAAACACGGTGTACATCCACAAACAGGTCAGAAAATAACGTTCACATACAAAAAAAAAAATTAGCTCTGCTCCACAACCTGCGAACAATCACAGCTGATTCCTGTAGATTGCGAGTTTAACCTGAGCATGCAGTGTTATAATAATAATGTTTTATTAATATAGTGCCTTTCCAGGGCTCAAGGACGTTATGAAGCACGAATACATTGAGCACACAAACATTGAATGCATCAAAATAATATTAATTATTATTATTATTATTATTATTAATACTTTTGCTGACTCCAGTAGAGTTTAATGTGAGCATGCAATGTGATATTTTAATTAGAACAAAAATACACTGCACACACAAATATTGAATTAATTAAAATAATAATACTTTTGAATTAAATGGAATTATTTTAATAGCTGCTCTTAAGGTTTGAATAAAATCATTTCTTGGAAGACTGAGGTCATTACAATGCATTGTGGGTCTGCATGAGGAGCACATGTGACACTGCCTCAGCCAAAACAAGCCTGACAACATAACTGCGAGGGTTTGGTGAAGGGAGTGTGTTGCTCTGCTTCCGTCTGTGAAACACACTATACTAACACCACTATGTGCTGGTGTGTTTGATTCCCTCCTTCAGCTGCAGAGTGAATTCATTCAGAACGGCTGCAGGAACTACAGGTTCATTCCTATTCTGTTCCCAGGGGCCAAAAAGGTTTGTGAAGTTCAACAGTTGCAACTTTCCCCGAAGCATTTCAACAAATCAAAGCATGTTTGTAAGCTTGTTATGCTCTGAACCGGTTAAACTAGTCCCACACGGGTTCTGTACTCTTCACCGTCTAATAGACTCAAAACATCAATATCATTTCAGCGAGGTTTCTCAGGACTGACGCAGGACCTGTTGTCTTCTCGTCCTCAGAGTTACGTTCCCACCTGGCTGCAGAATACACACATCTACAGCTGGCCGACAGATCGGGACGATATTCTCCGCAGGTTAATGCGTTTGGAGAAATACAGACCTCCTCCGATCGGCCCTCTGCCGACGATAGTCTCAGTTCCCCTGAGTTAGAGCAGCAGTGGGGCCGGTTTCACAAAGCTAGTTTAGACCGGTCTATAGTGTTAGACAAGTCTAAAATTTGCTCATAGACTAGTCTAATGCAAGTTCGACTGTTTCACAAAAATAAAGACTGACTTAATTTAGACCAAAAAAAATAGACACCTTAGGCCAGGGTTCCTCAAACTCAGTCCTGGAGGGCCACTGTCCTGCAGAGTTTAGCTCCAACCCTGATCAAACACACCTGAGCAAGCTAATCAAGGTCTTCAGGATCACTAGAAACTCACAGGTAGGTGTGTTTGATCAGGGTTGGAGCTAAACTCTGCAGGACAGTGGCCCTCCAGGACTGAGTTTGAGGAACCCTGCCTTAAGGTGATGATACACAGGGCAACTTTTTGAGCAATGTTGCTGGGCAATCTTGCCGAGCGATTGTTGCTTGGGCACTTTCCCATTGAAAATGAGCAATACATTTCTATCTGGATAATTTAGATCGGTCGTGGGCCCTGTGTCTCACGTGGTTGCCCATTGATGGCAACATTGCCCCGCAACATTGCTCAAAAAGTTGCCCTGTGTATCATCACCTTCAGACTCTGTTACCTTGGCAACCAGCAGCAACAATCAGTTACATTACAAACAGCCGAAAGAAAAGGGAAAATGGCCCTTACCAAATATATCCATCACCATTTCAGTGGTGTCTTTAAAGGATTAGTTCACCTCAAAACGAAAATTTCCTAATAATTTACTCACCCCAATGCCATCCAAGATATCCTTGTCTTTCTTTCCTCTTTCATCACGTTGAAAGGTCACGCTCGATGACATTTAAACATCCAGGATACGCACACGTAAGGACCATTTTAAACAATAATATGACACAAAGACATAAATATGTCATTCAACATACAATACAATTTGAACTATCCTCCTTCGCACGGTGGCTTTGTAAACAGTGGGGCGGTACTTACGCCGGCGACATCGAGCGTGACCTTTCAACGTGATGACGTAGTCCATTATTCGAAGAAAAATTTTCCTCAAAAAATGTATTTTTTCTTACACTGAGGAAAGAAGGACATGGATATCTTGGATGTCATTGATTGGGGTGAGTAAATTAGTAGGAAATTTTCATTTTGAGGTGAACTAATTAAGTTTCTCTTGGGGTCCTCCTCCCGTTTTTGGATATTTCCTCTTAAATATTTCTTTTTTGGCATCTTGTACCATGTTTTTGTATCTTTTCTGTACGTCTTTAACGCTCCGCTCAACGGTCGGATTAACGCTGTTAACTGTCGTAGCAATCTTTGTCCAAATTAAACATTTCTTCTTGTTACTACATTCTCTGCTAAATCTCCCCAGTAAAATGTCCTTGTAACCATAGATATCCATAATAAAGGCTAGATGTCTCGTCCGCGGTGCTGGCCAATGGAGGTCGACGTCCGCACCTGGCGGCCATCTTGCCACAGGCAGCTCGCTCACTCGTAACATTGTGTTTGAATGGTGCATGTACTTTTTAAATGACCATAACTTGCTCAATTTTCTACCGATTTTCAAACGGTTTGGTTTGTTATAAACGTCAGAGATGTAGTTATGACACTGCACACTTATGAATAATAAGTGTATCAATAAATAATCATCCAGAATTATAGCCACGTTAATAACGTTTGTAAGAAACCAAACCGTTTGTAAATCCGTCAAGATTTCAACGAGATAAGAGTATTTGTGTTCGTGCTGATCACTCATCTTACATCAGGCACCACAGAGCCCGCCAGAAAGCTTGCCTGTGACAAGATGGCCGCCGGTGATGACGATAGAGACTCTATTATTAGCCTTTATTATGGATATCTATGCTTGTAACTGTTACACTCCTCCAACACACACATATCTCCCGCTGGGGTAAACTGCATTGAGCGGTTGAATGCGCTTACTCCATCCGCCATGTTTTTTGTTTTGAAAATTGTCTTATTTTACCCAGAATGCATTGCAGTGTAGTCCTACTTAAGATAGTCAGAGTCTTAAGTGCTTTGTGCAACGGTCTGATTTAGATGTCTATCTACTATATCTAAGCCATAGTCAAAGTCTATCTTTGTGAAACCGGAGAGCCTCAACGCTTGCAGTCGCGTACTAACACACATGCTACTGTTTCTGCAGTGTGATGATATTGTGCCGTTTTCTGTATGCATGGAGTACCTGGATGACCTGATGCACTCAACTTTACATTTCCACCATGATAAATTAACTGGAACTTATATGAACCAGGATTATAAACATGTTTTTCGATTTAATTAGATTAGATTTTTTGAAAAAGCAGTATTACAATTTTACTTCAGAAATTATAACTAGACGCCAATCACATGTGACAATGTAGCATACTACTTTTTAAAAATGTTTATCATTGAATACTGTATCCTTTTCTCATATTATTTTGAAGTTTTGTGTAACACTTTACAATAAGGTCTCATTATTTAACATGATTTAATGCATTAGTTAACATGAACTAACTATAAGCAATATATTTTTTACAGCATTTAATAATCTTTGTTCACCCTTAAATTAAAATTAAGTCATAATTTACTCACCCTGGTGTTGTTCTAATGCGGTGTGTTAAGTCTGTCATGTTAAGAGTTTGTTTATTAAACTGTGACCTGTAAATGTTACTGTAAAAAGAAATGCAGTAGCAGATTATTCTCTCTTGTTTTTATAATAATAATAATTTTCAGATGTTTTGGTACTTCAACATTCTTTTGCATTGGATACATAAATATATGCACATTTATGTATAGTGCTACAGTTCTCAATTTTTTTAAATAGTTTTTATAGAATTAAATAAAATAATCGTACAAAAACATTTAACTCGCTGTGTCTTTTAAGTTGATCTTTTGAGTCATGTATCATTTTCATTGTACTTTCTGAAAATATTTTTTTTAATGAAAGAGTATAATAAAATAATGCAATGACAATACTATTTATCAATAATATGTTTTATTATAACACCCTCAGTTTTATGTGCTTAACTGGAGTAGCAGTTGGACATTAATATCTGTAACAGATGCAGTGTATCTTTAACAATGACAATATTCATGTTTCAATACAAGAGAAAAAAAAAAATCACCATTGTTGATCAAAACTAACATTCACATTGAATGAATAAATAATGACAAAACACATAAACGTAGTGTTGGAAGAAACTCTCACTATCGTAATTACAGCGGATTAGTGTTTTGGATTATTTTTTCCATTTTGACCTTTAGCATTGTGATATATTATTTAATAAACAAATATAATAAACTCACAAAAACTGACATACCAATGAAACGAGATTAATCTGCACTTCTCACGTCCTTTATAGCAGCTTTTGCTTCAAAAACTCATAATGTCTTTGTATTTTCAATGCAAATCAATCATCAGATTGATCATCGGCTTAAAGTAATCCACATTAAGTATAAATATGGCAAAAGCAGCTGTAAAAAAAATCAACAAAACAACAACAGAGGAAACCAACACTCGTATCTACACTCCATCCTGTTTTGGCCACATGAACACGTGCGTTTAGTAACTACAGGATTGTGACGGTTCACTTTCATCAGGTTCTGCTAGTTGAACATGATGGATTCAGGATCCTGGTTCATCATTTGTGCCATGTGACGCAGAACATCCTTCTTAGTAATGATTCCAAGCAAACGTCTGATGTAAGAGAAAGAGTAGTTTAGTCATCAACCATAATTCACTGATAAGACACAGCTCATGCTTTTAAAGTGATTTTATCACACCTGTTTTCATGTTTGCCTCATTTAACCTTCAGCTTTAACCCAAGAACCCGACCAACATCATGTATATATAATTTATATGACATATACACAGTACTTTTCAAAAGTTTGAGGCCGAGATAAGATTTTTCAAAATAAGTCTCTTTTGCTCATCAAGGCTGCTTTTATTTGATCAAAAACACATTTACAATTTAAAATATGTTTCTATGTTAATTTATTGTAAAATGTAATTTATTACTGTGACCAAAGCTGAATTTTCAGCATCATTACTCCAGTCTTCAGTGTCACATGATCCTTCAGAAATCATTCGAATATGATGATTTGCTGCTCAAGACACATTTCTGATAATCAGTGTTGAACACAGATTAATATTTTTGTGGAAATGGATACATTTGGTTTTTCATGAACAGAAAGTTCAAAAGAAATATTTTGTAACATTTTAAATATCTTTACTGTCACTTTTGATCAATTGAATGTGTCCTTGCTAAATAAAAATATTAATTACTGACCTCAAACTTTTGAACAGTAATTTATAATATAGAAAAAAAATCATTAAAAAAAACTAACAACCTCGAAAAATTCAAGTAATTCGCCAAATCAAGTAACAAGTTCTTCCTCTGAAACAATGGTTACATCGTGATGTCTATTTCTGAGGCAATGTGAACGAAGCCCCGCCCACTCTAAAATCTCATTGGCCACACCTCGTGTATTTGAAAGGGCACCTATTATCCCCCTTTTCACAAGATGTAAAATAAGTCTCAGGTGTCCCCAGAATGTGTCTGTGAAGCTTCAGCTAAAAATACCCCATAGATCATTTATTAAAGCTTGTCAAATTTGCCCCAATTTGGGTGTGAGCAAAAACACACCGTTTTTGCGTGTGTCCCTTTAAATGCAAATGAGATGCGGGCCCTTCCAGAAGAGGGCGGAGCCTCTACAGCTCCTGCTTCAGATACTCCAGCAACAACAAAACTGGGGAATCTCACTCAGGCAAAGTTTCTGAAACTGACAGAACAGCCTGACATGTTCGTACCGGAGTCGGATACTGATGGAGACACTCTGGAAGAAGTTACAAGCTACAACATTCAAGTTTCTGAATGGTCAGTGGACACATTTATGTAGTTGTTGTAGAGTTAAATTGATTCAACTCATCGATTATAAAACAAAGAGTGGGTGGATTTTTCCTTTATAGGCTGGTTGTTCACTGTGGACACGCATCTGTGTTCAAACACCTTATAAAAGTGAATTTTGCATAATAGGTCCCCCTTTAAACATCAAATATGTTCTGAGATAAACTAATCTTAAAGCTGCAGTCCGCAGTTTTTCCTCTTTGTCGCCATCTCTGTTTGAAATCTGCAATTGCAGTCATTCGCGGAGTTATCAACTTTACGTGAGTTGT